TTTTGAGATTGTATAAGAGCCTTATTTATTAGCCAAGAGATCTCGACTGGCCTACAACAGATTTGAAGTGCTGTTGACTGTCTAAGTTATCTTCCTTTGTTGTAATCTGGTTGGGTTTCCTGCATCACGGTCTGCTAGATAAAGTACAAAAGCTTGTCTGAAAGTAATTTGACCCTTTCAGCACTTGTGTCACTTCATGGAATGTCTGTGAATGGGTAAAACCTTCATCAGCATGTTTTTGGGGTTCTTCAAGCAGAGAAGATCTCTCACTCATCTAGTTTCCCCTTTCACTTTGTCTCTTGCCCTCGTTAGCTACCTTTTCCTGGGATAAGTAGGTACTCCAGTTTTGTAGTATTTCCTCCCTTTCTGCCCTCCACTTTTTGTTCATTCTTCCTTCTTCCTTTCAGACTTTATCTCCACATCAAGGTAGCTACTCCAGGTAAGACAGGTAGGCATAGCCTTTTACTAGAATTACACTCTCTTTCCCTCCTGTTCGCCTAAAGAGGTATTGTGTGTGCTGAGAGGCTGTGAGTGGACATGGAGTATATTTAAAGGTCTCAGTTTCAAAACAAAGCACAGGTCTTGGATAATGTCTCCAGTTTTGTTCAGAGCAGGTACAGATAGCCTTACTACAAGACAGATTGAGGAGAAGGTCAGCATGCAAGAGATTGCTATGTAAATGGGTCATTACTGTGTTTGTGCTTTATAGTTCTTAGTTCGTCTAAAAACTCGGGTCCTATAAAAGCATATGACCCACGCCATCACAAGAAATCACAAGAAACAATGGAAAGATGTTCTCCTGCCACATAATCAGTGTGCAGTTTCTGCTGGAGGTCTGTGGGTACGTGCGTGAGCCTCGAGTGTGACAGACAGAACAAAACAGTGATTTATGAAGCCGTCTTCGATAACCAAAAGTGCGTCTCTGTGAAAAGAGATGAGACACCAGTGAGTAGTTGTATAACACACTGATGGTTCCTATAACACTGACAAATACCCAAGGGTGAACGAAGAATAAAGCAGCACGTACACACTTCCGATGACAACCCTTTATCCCATTACAATGACCTTTGGTCTGACCTGTCAAAGGTTATTAATGACTGTTAATGTACACCGCTTTGTTGTTTTGTGTTTACATGTGACCCGCACCCACTGATCAAATGAACAAGGGAGCAATCCTGTTTAGAGGAAAAAAGATCCTTAAATGTGCCTGTGGTGTTCTATAGAAATCTTCCTCTATCTTTTTATTGCATCTTTTAGGAATGATGTAATGGGTCAGCAGCAGTACTGGCAAGAATGGCATCGTAGACAAGCCTCTTATTCTGCACTCAATACATTTATATTCTCGTTTTAAGTAGAAAAATGTTCCATAAAATAAAACTAGGTTTTAAAGAATACCTATAAAACAGTTCTGTCCAGATTTGTCCCAATCTAAGATGGTCCAAAAGCCCTAAAAAGTCGAACATATCGCTATGTCCCCGGGCCAGTCTTTTCTTCCAGTGGTTACATTGTAACAATGCAGGGAAGTTGCCCAGTCTCCAGGAAGTAGTTAGTTCCACATTTCAATTGCCTAAATCTATTGGGTTTCCTTCATAAATGAATACAAGTTGGTTGTGCATAGCAGCATATCATTCAATTATTTTCAAGGAAAACTTTATTTCTTCTCCGTCAGCCCACTTTCCTCTTTTTTACTAGCCTTTAAAAGACGTCTTGTGTGCAGACAGAGGTGGAAGTCTTAGAAGACAGAGAGCGCCATGGCGGCTGCTACCTCAAGTAAATCACTGACCCAGAGCACAAATACTGTACACAGAGTCACACAAACACACACATGCAAGTCCCAGGAGACGTGCAGATACAGCCTGTGAACCTCATCACTCAGTGAGGGTAGAGTAAAGACTGATGAGAAATGTCACAAGAGGATCCCCCTCCCCTAGGCCCCTTTCCTGAGTGACCACTGCAGTGCCCTTTTTAAGTGCATCCTTCCTCTCAACTTCCTTTCCTCCCCTTTTCATCCCATGAGGGACTAGTAAGGTAAAGAATAAGATTTGCAGGATGATCCTTCAGTTGGGCAGCCTAATCTCTAAAAACTGTAAGGGAAAGAAACTTAAAAAAAGTAGGCTGGTTTTCTGGAATATGACTGGTTTTTATCTTTCTCCTCTACCTACATACTAAGAACTCCAGTCAACTCCAATCACCAAATACCAATCTTTAAAAGGAAGGACCTGCTGATTCCGATTTTGGTCAATACCAATTTTTTAGTTTGAAATGCCGCAAATTATAGCGAGAAAGTCACTATTATTGTTAACTTTAACTACTATTGCTAACTGCAAATGTGCAGACATGATCTGGTGGGCCGGTCTATCTGTCAAACTTCTCTCCTGGAAGAGCAGAAGAGGACAGTGGTTGATTTTTAAATGTTTTCTGAGGTACAGGATGAGATTGGCTTTATATGCAAGCATTGGCCAATCACCGATTTCCCAAACTTAAGAAAAGCGGTGCCAATCATTTGACTGGCTGATAAACCAGTGTACTGCTTATTACAATCCAATATACAGTCACTATGGCTTTTTCTAGCACACAGACCAACCCTAATACAGGACATAGAGTCTTGGCATGTGAAACAGAAATGGAAATATTTATTTTGTGTAGGCAGATTAAATAAAAAACAAAAATGCTATTAAGATAACAATTTAAAAGCCATGGTCAGACACTGACAATCGTTCAGGGTAATACAAATGAGAGGATTTGCTGGAGTTAAAAGCATTATAATTAGGTATGGTTTTGTTTTGTATAACAAAGAATAGATAATAAGCTTCAAATTAGCTTGAAAAAGATTTCCTTTTAAAGAGTCCAAATGAAACTTGTCAGGTTTACCAAAGTAGCTCCAACAAGTCTACTTTTCTCTCTAGTTGGTCTATAGCTTGCGAAGCAGACTACTAGCATCAACATGTAGCCCTGTCTGTGTATCTTAGCTAGTTTTTGTGTGCATTTGTTGTGTGCATTTGAATGAAACAAATGCATTCTGATGAAACTTTGGAATCACATCCTTTGGAATACACCAACCAGCTAAATCCGCGCACGCATGCACACCACTAAAGCTAATCAGGATTAAATTTCTTCTGCTCTGCTATGTGAATGTATATACATACAAACATATATCCAGCCCCAGGGAGTTGTGTGAATCGGTAACTCATTAGCGCATACATGATTGGTTCATCACAGATCCAACATTTGATACACTAGGACTGCCGGGCAGAGCTTTAGCCATGTAACCGAGCTTTTAATCAATTTTATATTAAGAGCGTGTTGTAATGATAGCGAGGACTTCCTAGACCCTTAATTTAATTCACAATCTTTTGCTGTATATAGTTACAGTCTCACTGATGGGTGTGATAACCTGGTTTAGTACAAGATGCATGCATTCACACACACACACCTGTATAAGGAAACACACCTGACGGCACTCTCCTCAGGTGTCCCAACATTGCCTCAGCTGTAATATGGGTTTTACCAGTTACAGCATTTCTGGAACACTGAGTAGAAAAGGTCAGAAAAAGTCTAGATCTCGTGTTTTTTCAACCAGCTGGAGTTTTGTGTACCAAGAACACAGAGCTCTGCTACTGCAACAAGACAGTCCAGAAAGCGATTAAAAGCTGTAAAATTAGAACAGTGAGGCAAAGTTTCTTAAAGTTGTACAACTTTAACTCGGTAAGTAAGTAATGATTTCGCAAGTTAATAAGCATAATTGCTACAACAGAATCATTGGTTAGTTTTATTACTGAAAACCACAGCATTTAAACATGGTATTTTCACAACAAGACTATGTTTCTGTCCACTGCCCCTGTAAAACTGGGATTCAACAGAAACCATTTTGGCTGCATTTCATCCCTCACATTTATTAGGTTTACAAACCGGCAGAAATCTTGTAAAGGGAGATGTAAAAAGAAATAAAAAAAATCTCCATCAGTACACACACTATAGGATTAAGGTCAAAATCACTGTAGTGCATAATGCTGACGTGGTAGGAGGTGTTAACGACACCAACATTTAAGGAGATTCTAAGCATCACTAAAGCTGTGGCAGACTAAAGAGCCTTGTATTTTCTTTGGAACCTTTTAGCCTCTCAGCTTTCTCTGTTTTGACAAAACAGCCAGGACAGAGTAAGCCAGATGCCAGGAAAAAAAAAATAGACAGAGAGAGAGGGACAAAATAAGCATAAACACACATACACATGCACACAGAGAATACAAAACAAAACATAACACTTTATACTATTATTGTGGCTTCCAGATATAAATTGCATACAAATACCCGTTTTTTATTTTTAATCTGCATTTTTGAAATTGCTTGACTAAGAAAATATATTTTCCATGAAAAACCTGTTTGCATGTTTTCAAAGGGTGCAAACACAGCAGAAAAGTTGTGTTCAGTTAAATATCTTTGTTAATGTGACCCTTGTGTTTGCAGCAAGTTTGTGATTTACACCACATTAATAGCCACACACTAATAGCACAAAATAATTTATTCAAATCACGTTATCGTCTCATTCTTGATTATCTATTTAGTCAAATATGAATGCTGAGAGTGTTTGAGACTAAACTCTACCAAGAAAAAAAAAATCTGGAACATCCATCCGCTTTGTTATAATTGCCCTGACAGCAAAGGTAAACCTGGTGTCTTTTAGTGACGCCAAGCAGACTTTTACATCATACAATATAACAAATGTACTATTTAACTCCCTTCTTCCCCACTTGATACTTGATTGGTGACAATCCAACATGCAGCACCTGCCATATAAGACAATCTCCTGTGTTCACATTCCTTCCCCCTCCATCTCTGCCTCACCTGTTTTTTCATACACACTGATATTTGATCTACACAAAACTAAATCTGTTGAGCACATTCCTTATTTTAGTTTTTCTAACCTGCTGAGAAATATCTGCCTTGTGTTGCACACTCTGTCAGTGTGTGAAATATGTACTGGATGAGTGCACTCAACTTGCCTTGGTGAAAAATACAGAGAGATGCGTTTCACTGCCAAGAATCCAAATAGGGAACTTTGGAGATTTGAGGAATGTCCCGACCTAAAAGAAAAAAAAAAAGAAACAGCAAAAGGAATAGATTATAAAAGGAGAGAATCTATTTTTGGCAGGTACCACTATGATTTAGCATTTGCTTCTAATCAAACATATCTTTTTATTAGAGAAATGAACTGACTGACTGAACAGAAAAGACACGTTACAAAAATAAACTCCCCAAACACCATCAGGATTAAATTAAAAACTCATATTCACCAAAATGACCTTTTCCCTTGTTAGGATAACATGTATGTTGTGTATGAATGGGAACATGTGCACATTGTAAACAGGTTCATTCAGCCAATTTGAAGACTGGCTTCCATATTTTTATGATGGCTTTATTTCCCTTTTGCACATCCATACTGAAATTTTAGCTCTTTGTGACTTAAGTTGCAACATTATGTTAAAATCCCAAGATTCATAATCTCACAATCATTTTAGATAATACCTTATTTATTTTGTGTAACTTGGATTTGCCTCAGTCAAAAAGCTTAGATATATAGCTGTATAGATGCCCTAAGTATTTCTTACATTTTGAACACGATTTCCACCCACACTAAATGTATTTTATTAGAATGATGTGCGATAAACCAACACGAAGAGAAATGAATAGGAAAGAACTTTTTACAAATGAAAACTCTAAACAGTGTGGAATGAACATGTATTCATTCCCTCCAAGTCAAAACTCGGAGGGAATGAACTGGAACTGGAATGAACTGGAACTGCAGTTCCAAATGTAGAGATTTGCTCTTAAAGCAAGTCTCTACATTTTTACCCATTCCTGCAAATCAGTTTGGATGGAGATGGTTTCAACAATTTTGAAGTCTTTGTTTGGGTGACTGAAGCTCCAAGGCAAACACATTCTTAAGCTGTTATGCAAAATCGACTTTTTTGAGCTCTATATCATGTTAAGATGTTATTTCCTCATCAAAGCCAGACTGTTGCTTTAATTCCTTCATGCATGTCAGAGAAATCCTTCAATGTCCCATGGCAGGAATTTGGTGAATTAAAGTGAGAAAGTATGTTGTGTCCCTTTTGATTTGTTTGAACAGTTTACTTCGAAATCTTTTAAAAAGTGCTGTAGTTTGTAACTTTTACTGGAAATATACCAGATCTCAGAGTAACATGAATGAAATGTCTATTTACTCGTAAGCTTTCGTGCTCAACTCAATTGTGTTCATTTTGAATTCCCGATCAAAAAAAGCAAAAACAAAAACACACGTTTTCAGCACACTTAGCAAGAGCTCGACAGTTTGCTTATACTCCTCATTTCTCTTCTGCATGTGTCTGTACCTTGCAGTAGCGCAGTGACTCCATAAGCGTGAGGAAGCCAACAGATGCTTGTTTATGAATTCCATGCAACTCTACAAGAAATTAAACAGAATTAAAAAGAGAGGTGAAAATTGATATTATTGACGGAAGATTGAGTTATTTACTGTTAATATGTGAAGATATGAGATTAAAGCAATGGCTAATCTCAGAGAAATATGGTTAAGTCTAGGATTACTACTTGCTCCATGTGTTAATGAGATTTATTTGTCAATAACATCAGTGCCAGCTCTTACTCATGCCAGAGCATTCCCTGTCTCCATCCCATACATTAGAGACGGCATGGCCGGTTATAAGGAGGTTCACCAGGCTCTGACTGAACGAGAAAGGGACAAGGAAAAACAGTGTTTATATAAGAAAGAAAATCTGTTGTGCACATATGTGCTTTGCGAAGAAAATATGGAGTGCTTTGCATAAGAACAGCAAAGTCTTTAATTAGCAATAGAATTTTAATAAAAACAAAAATCCACTTTGTAATACTTGTGTTAGTAATGTAAACTAAAACAGCTTTGAATAATAATCATTTTAAGTCAGCTTAATGCTGAAGAAACAAGAAGATGGATTTGTATACCTTCCATGACCATGTATAGGGTCTATCAGGGGCTCTGTTGGGTCCTGGATTTCATTTCTAATATTCTCTATGCCCTGCAAAAAAAAAAAAAAGGGGGAAAAGCAAACATTTGTTGAACATTTAGAAATCTCTGCAACCTCCACATAAAGTTTGAACATTAACATACAGTATTTCTGAATAAGTATCCAAACGCAAAAACTTATATTCGATTTGTACCAAATTAACTTTATTTTTTTAAATCCCTTAATCTCAGAAATCATATTACCGCCGTCAGTATTTGAAATGACCATTTGTCTCTCCCTGCTACATTTTTTCCCCTTACCTTAGTGAGGATGACAGAGTAAAGGAAAAGCAAAACCCCACAGCACCCCCTCCAGGACTGGTATAGAGACAGCACCTCCTCTCTGAGATCAGACACTGACAGGACAGTTAGCTTGCTGCAGGATAAAGGAGAGGTGGGGAAGTATAAATATATATACAAATCTTAAGAAAATAACATGAAACAACAAAAAGTAAATTCCAAGGGTGTCAGGTTGTAAAATGTCACAGGACATGGATTGTGTTTGCCAGTCCTTAATGTGTAAAGATAAAAAAAATGACGCAAGACAAAACAGGACAAAGAAAAATTAGACCGCTAGGGATTAGCGCTCCATCCTTCTCATCCTAATGCTCATTAAAAAAATACCAGTGAATCCGTCTGTCTTATTTAGCATGCACCTCTTTGCTTTGAGCAAGCTTTGCGTTTTGCTGACTGTAGTCTAAGCTGTCAGGGAGCTATGTGATGAAATTTCAATGTTTCTCACAGCAAGCTCAACCGTGCATATATTTAATTTGCTGGTGTGTCTTTAACAGACATCTTGTGTGTCAGATAAGCGCTCTTTCAACAAGGCAATCAATGAAAGCAGAGAGTTGGCAAATTGTAAGGAGAGTGAAACTGCAAGTTCACTCTAAAAGCCAAGACAGATAAATTGACACCTCCTTTTCATGCTCCCCGTGCTTCTGAGAAAAATGCAGCAGAAAATCCTGCACTTTGGCAATTGTCCAACCTCATTGTTTGTTTTAAATCTCTCCCTCCAGAATATTCATCATTTTACCAGACTATATTGGGGAAAGTATTTATGATGAGAGGAAATATTGGTATGGTATTTGATAAAAAATAATCTTCACTTACTGAAGTACACTGTGAAATTGCTCAAAGCCAAGGTCCTCAGCAGCCAAAGCAGCTAGACACAAGAAAACACAATCACAGAAACCATCAAGGCAAAACGTCAGATTGTCAGAGTTAGTCTGTCAAACTTCAGTAAAATGTATTTAGTTGGGCAGCCAAAGATGCAGTCAGTGAGTGGGCGATGATACGAGACTAACTTGGCTGCTGTTCCTGTGGCGACTGACTGCTCTCTGGTCTTGGCATGTCCTGTGTTTGAGACTGTGTCTGGGTCTTAGAAAGCGTGCTAGGATGTGGGCTCTGTCCCTTGGCCCAGGTCACAAAACAGAACCCTGTGGAGGGGCTGGCACAGGCAGACTCGAGGATTTCACTCAGTGTTGAACACAGGGCCATCTTCTGCTCCTCTTCTAACGGAGACAAACGTGAAAATATCAATTGTTTTGGTTAGACATAAGGAAAACAGTAAAACCCAATAATCATCTTTTTAGGGAAGTTACCTGACATTTTTCTCCAGGTGGAACTTTCTCTGTTAAAAAGAATGTTCTTTAGAAGGAAAGCCTGCAAAGAAACACAAACTCAGTTTACAGCAACTGGAATTTTAGCTATATATCATGTTGGTTACGTATCTAATATTCAAAGATCTTATCTTGTTGCCACTGAATGAGCTAATATTCAGGCTGTTGTGCAGTGAGAAACTTACTTGAACAGGTGCAATCACAGCACATGGTCCTCCTTCAAACTGCTTCAGAGCCGTTTGCTCATGTTCACTAAAAACAAACCCTGTGAAAAGGGGAAGTCTTCATTCAACAGTGAGCCAATCATTCATTCTGTATACACATTAAGGCACACAATAAGCAAAATTTTGGCTGGATCTTTAGTAAAACATGGATTGACAACAAACATATACATAAAAAATAAAAGAAGAAGATTTAAAATGTGCAAAATAGTTTGATAAACTCTAGGCTGTCTAGCCTGGCAGAAAGAGATATTCAAATGTTTGCCAATTTCTAAACAACTGAAAACACTGACATTAACTCACTGTGGTTATCACAACAAAAGCCCTACCTTGAGACCATCTTCGAAAGATCGAAGTGGAAACTCCTCCCCCTGTTGGTTTTCCCCAAACCAGATCAACCACCTCCTTATTTAACTCTGACATGATTGGCTTCAAATCCTTAGTAACGCCCTCTTCGGTCCAACCTTCATGCAGGGACGAGAGAGGCTGTTTGTTCTTAATGCAGTCTCTTCCAAATGGCAACACTCCACTTCTCAGGGCAGTCTGTACCTGTGGCATTAGCCACAACTTCTCTCTGTGGTCCAACTTCGTCTGAGCTCAGGGGCTGGCAGCAAAATGGAGCGTAGGTATGACATCAATCTACCAGGCAACAGAACACAAACACAAATCCAGATTTGCCTTTGGTTAAGGTGACCTCAAGATCAGACAAAACAACTGTTATATTGAGTAACAGAAGAGCTTGGATTTTGTACAGTTGGACAGATATTCACAGATTTGTACTTTATTGATATTCTCAAACAAAGTGTTGTAAAGTACTGCTTCCCTCTAGTCAAAGTGAGTGAGCTATATCATGACCTAACTGATCACTGTACTAAACATTTACCAAACGGATATTTCTAGGCTGGTACCAATTGCCATTTCTCCTTAATGTTTGACCAGCAGATTCTGGTTTTTGTAAATTATGATTTATTTTTCTAATATCCATCATAGTCACCTGAGTACATTTTATTTTAATTCAGTGATTTAAGTTAACAAAATTGACCATATGAGGGAAAGGTTTTCTGGAAAAAAAAAGAGAGTTTTTTTTGTTTGTTTTGTTTTTGTTTAAGCCAGAAAAGTCATTTTCTGTCTTGATGACTTTTCTGCATGCCTGCAAAAAAGTAGCTTACGATGTTTTTTTTGTTTTGTTTTTTTTCTCCAAAAATAATCTTCCACCATGCATGGGAATACAAAATGTTCCACAAAAGATGGTGCCACTTTCTGATGAGATCAAGCTGTTTTCTTCAGTTCTCAAGTTACAGTTAATTAGTAGAACATTTTATTTATTCATTTATTTTTTCAAATAAAATAAGAAAAAGCATTACATAAACTTGTTTTGTGAAATAATATTCTCTGTCACAGCTTTTAATTTAGAAAAAATATTCTACAGCAAGAAATGCGACTGTACACACTGAACACTGAAAAAGGTAGGTAATTGAAAAACCATTTGTTCAAAGAGAAATAATTTCTAAAAAGTGTTTTTAATTAAGGAAGGGTTTTACATTTCTGTATAACGGGTTTTTAAACTGGACATATGTAAAGTATCCAATAATTTCAGCTTAATTATTGATAATAAATAATAATAATAATAATAATAATAATAATGTGGCTCTCATTATGTATCCTGTATTAATGATTGTACTGATTGTACTCTCTCCTACGTTGCAGTTGAAAAAAAGCTGCAAAACTTTTGAGCTTTTGTCGAAACTTGACATGAGCAGTGATGAATTATGAAGAAAAATTCAGAAACATTTTTGGGCGTTTACTAATTGTACTACACAATTTAGCTTGGGAAGTGTTCTTGAATTACATTTCTAATGAAACATAAAAATTGCAACCTGTATCATATACGCAATGATCGTACATATCACGTTTGAAGTATTTACAGAACCTGGCGCTAATAGAGTTATTTGAACACTTGCTCGCTCTGCAGCCAAGCTAAAAGGCTAGCGGCTCCGTTAACGTCAGGTGGTTACAACGGATGATAAACAACGAAATATTTAACAACGAGCGAACAGCTCACTCTTTAATACAATATGGCGAAGCAAAAGTTAAAATATTAGGTAACTTTGCTTGGCACTATCAAGCACTAACATTAACACCTTTCAGCTAACCGTACATTGCTTTATCATTCAATTTCTTGTCACTCCAGGGCGGCGGCAGATATAACGGTCGTGAGAGGCTGTAGTTTATCATTATTTCGACGTAAATATTCTACACTTACCTCAAAATAGACTCGAGTATTAGGGGGTTTGTATAGGCTGTATTTTGTTGAGCAATTTCACCGCCAGCCGCATTTCTGTCATTCGTTTATTTACAACAAATTGTAAAATGAAGAAAAAATGCTGCGTCCATTTGACGTATTATACCATTGGTTGAAATCGAGAAAGTTCCAGATGCGTCACAAGGCGTTGTCTCGACGTATTGCCCGATTGGCTCATCAGCTTGTCGATCAAGTTTAGCGCACCCTCAGAAATGGATTAGTAAATTTAAAACACAGTTTATGACTTCATTTTTTTATTATAGCTTTCAGAATATTTATGCAACAACAAACATAACACTAGATCTGGACTATTTTACGTTTCTACTTGCTAAGTTTTAAAAATGTATTCAGTATGATTGGTATTTTGTTCATTATCTCTCTCCGTAGCTGTGACTGTGGATGCGTTTCTTAACAATCAGCCGGTGAATGACATGGGTGGAAAAGATCGCAATGAGAAGAGTATTTTCCTTTTAAATATAGGGCAAATTATGCATATTTATTTTAGCTAAAGGAGGTCAGAGGCAACCTGTCAAACCGATCCTGGATTTTTTTGTCAACACCCGTTAATAAAAAGCAAAAATTACATACATTTTACCAGAGCTCACCTCCTGACGCATACCAGGTGGAAATCAAAATCTGCAGATCAAATAACTTTATTTAGAAATATGCTTAAATACCAATGACAGTGAAACCGAGCATGGCGGTTGAGATATGCACATGTCACGACAGATGCACTGTTTGAGATTGATTGTGTACAAACCACTCCTACACGGCGTCCCTATTGCCTCGTCAAGTCGCAAATGGGGCGCACCCAGCTTCAGCACTTACCGCATGCGTGTTGCATGCCGCCTACAGTTCAGTTCTTTAGCACGCGTGAAGTATATTTGGGAAAAGATTTTTTTATTAAGGGGCAAAATTCATTGTAAAGAGTAACGAACGTTATTTATCAGTATGGGAGGTCAGGCTAAGAACAAGAAGAAAAATAAACCCAAGAGGAAGGACAACCGTCAAAACAGGGGTCAGCTGTGCAGTGTTATTTTTTTTTGTTTGTTGGTTTGTTATATCCAATGTAAAATTTGTTCGTGCCATTCATCACTAAATGAGACACAACTTTTCATTCGCGCCTATGTTTCATTTCCACAGATGGAGGATTTGTTGATTTATCACCTCAAGAAAGGATGAAAGTAAGAATGCATGAGAAAGCCAAGAAGAAGACAGCTGAAAAGTACTCAGTACAACAACTACTAGAGAAGGTGCCTTTAAAAATGAAACGTATCACAGTAGAAAGTGTCTAGGTTTTATTCTGTACATTTACTTATCTTGTGTGTTCAGACTCAGGAGTACATGGACAGTTTTGACTTTGAGATGGCTGGCCTTTTCTGTCAGAGAGCTCTGGATGTGGACTCCAACAACCTACAAGCTCTTGACATGCTGGGACACATTTGCTCCGAATTAGGAGACATGCAGAAAGCTAAATCAATATCCTTTTGTGACTTTATTGTCCTTATACATTATCTACTGATTAGTCACTAAAGCATTGTGTATTTTGCTCATTCTGTCCTGAAATGGAAATAGTTTGGGCTTCCTTTACCAAGTCCTAAGTGTTTCTCCGTGCAATAGACCTGAGTCCGGATGTTGGTCACAGCAAATACATGTATCTGGGACAAATTCACACCGGCCAGGAGGCTGTGGACTACTACACAAGAGGAATACAGGTTCTTCTATCGGTTCTAGAGAAGCAGGAAACAGAGGTCAGTGAGAACAACTTCATACCCTTTGAACCTATCCACATTTGACCACTAGACAACTACAAGCTTTAATATATTTATATATTAATTATAATTATATAATTACCAAACAAAAAGAAAATAATAAATTGTTTGTCACAATATTTTGGAAATAAAAAACAAACTTGTGGCACGCTTTTGTTTTCAACCCTTCTGATTGATGACTTTGCAGAAAAATCTTGTCCGGCTGTAACAGCTGTCACTTTTGTGTGTATATGTCTACCAGCTTTGCACAGCTAAAGACTACTTTTTTTTTTTTTTTTTTTTTTTTTTTTCAAATTTCTCCCCACAAGAAACCCTAAAAAATATAATAAAAAACT